ATGCCCGTAAACACCTACATGTTCATGTGTGCTTCGCGCACATGTGGATAAAACGTTTTCATCGATATACGTACGTGACACGTGTACGTGTCTTATAGAAGTTGGCAGCAAGTGTACGTGGGGTGACCGCAGCGTGAAGCATATAAAGGAAATGTCAAAGTTCAAATTCGCTGCCAGTCAGCAGTGCCGTATGCTGCTTGATAGTCGCCCCGTGGCAATTTACGATTTTTTATTATAGGGAAAAAAAAAGAAAATTTTTTTTTTATACCGCAATAAAAGTAAAATCCAAAGAGAATCTTTGGTCGGTTTAACGTCAGTGAGAAATCTCGTCTGAAGGCGACTTTTCAATGCGGCTTGACTGCATTTAAAATTTCCCTATGCAAACAGCATGCGTATACTCTGTGCATAGAGAAAACGAAGAGTTGTCTATAGATACACGTGAGACTTGTCACGTGAGGTCAGTGATAAGAAAAGAATGAAGCTAAAATTATTTTTACGTAACTCCATCTACGAATATTCGAATTCCAAGGATTTTTTATAAGCGGGCATAAGGGGGCGATTTAAAATTGCCGCGCTTTTTCGCACGAGCGTAATGACGCGAAACGCGTCACCCGGGCACATAGAATCTCCAACGTTAACGCAAACAGTACGTATAACACGTATGTGCATACGTAAGAACGTCACGTAATACGTATATTGAAATAAAAGCCGAAAAAGTCTGGGCAATGTCTGGAGAAAGCATTTTCGAGCGAATAGCTCGAGTCTATTTGCGTAATCACGAGAGCAGGCAAGGTGGCGACACTGCTACAGGAAGTTGTAAAGTCTATACGAGGGTATAGTACCGACATACAGTATGTACAGTAAATGTATGGTATATCAAAGTGTAATATACTCCACTCGTACGTATCCACACGAGTACAACATCGATCGAAGATTAACCAGAGCAAATCCGAATTCCCTATACGCGCCACGCTCCAGTTTCCTTCAGCTAAGTTTCTTCGTAGCGTAACGCGATTTTCGAGCGTACATACGTACGATAAATATGCAACGTAGTTCGTACGCGAAGCCGCCAGGGGGTTTTCCCAAGAGAATAACGAATAAGACCGGCATATAAGCAAGATATAGACATACGCCTGAATTCCGAGATTAATAATAATAACAACCAAATGTAAAAACTCACGTATCTGCGGCACGTCGTACTGCATATTTCCACGTGCTGATCTGAGCATGAACTGGGACGCGATGGCAGCGCCGCCAAGAGGCGGCGGTAGCGTCGGTAACTGCTGTTGACTGGCAGCGCCACCGTTATCGCCAGGACGCCTTGAGGACGAGTTGATCTGATTCCTCTTGCCAGGTGGTTTGTCGGCCTCGAAGACGAGGGGGCTCAGACCTATGCCGCCACCCTGGGGCTTCCTGTTGACCGGTTCAGGATGAATCTGAATGGGCATAGAGTCGGAAGGCGGTGGACGCTGACCGAAGACCTCAGCCAGATCGTAGCCGACGGTGCCGCCGCTACCGGCAGTCGGTGGAGTCTCCTCTTCGTTATCGGCGTAGACCAGGGGCGGAAGGCCTACGACCTTCTTCGTGTGCCTGAAGCCCCCGGGTCGCTTACGCGCTCTGTGCTGCCTAAAGACGGTCAGAGCTGGCGGACCAAGTTCCTCCAGGAGTGGGTCTTCCTCCAGGAACAGACGGGGCGGTGGCACGTGCTCGTAGAACAGCCACTCCCTTCGCGAGCCGTCGTACTGATGAGCGCGAAGATGCAGAAGGCCACTCTTGTCCAGGTTGCTCATGGGTAGCTCCGCGACCTCATCGTCCAGGTCCACCTCGTTCGGATGCTTCCCCAGGAAGGCCTTGCTGGCTTCCGAGTCCTGTCCCGGTGACGTGGCCGTACCCAGCCGATTCCCTACCACCAGCGCCAGACCAAGACCCAGGTAGCTGATGAACCATATGGCGCGACTGGTCATCTTCCTTCTGTTATCTCTTGACTCGGTACTATTGTGATTATCAATGACCTTGAAAATACTTTTGAGACTACTATCAGGTATATCGCCGACGGATCCTCTCGTCTTTCGACTCCTTCCTACTTTTTCAATCCGTTACTTCGCCTCTTTCGCCTCCACCGTTAATTCTCGACTTATCCTCGCGCTATAATTGTCTCATCAATTATCCTGATCTCTCTCTCTCTCTCTCTCTCTCTCTCTCTGCACACTCCTGTACCTCAGTCTCGTATTTCAATCGCTAGTTGAATGTCGGATTAGGTCCTGGGACTTTTGATTCTTCTCAATTTACTCGGTGTCCCGGCATCAGCTATGCTTGGAGTCAATTTGAATTGGGTTTTCGACCTTTCTCTTTTAAATTCTTGATACCGACAAAAACTTGGATTATATATATAATATATATACGCACGTGAATAATGAGCATATATAATATACCTTCGATCGTACGTAATCAGGTTAACGATTTTTTATTTCAGTGTCCCTCTATGTCTCTGTCCCTTTTTTTCTTTCTCTTGCCAAATTCTTCGTCCTTCGCCTCCCTCGATACAGGACACGAGGTGTATTTACGAAAAATACGTGTAAACGAAAAAGATCGAATTTTCACATACGGTCTCTACAGTGCTTTTCACTTTTACCTTTTTCCCCCAATTTCCTTATCCGTCTTAGGCCTTTCGAGTGCTTTCGCACGTTTCCATGAAATTTCCTAAAAGTCCTCCTTATCGCTTGCGACTTCCCAGTTTAATTTTTTCTCTATACTTGGTCTCTCTCTCTCTAATTTCTCTTTGCGGATCACTTCGCTCCTTTAGCTTCTTTTTTTCTTTCTCTCTCTCTCTCTCTCTCCCCTTCTCACAATCCAAAATATTCTGTGCGTCGGGAGTCCTTCCTGAAATCAGCCGGTAATTACAAGATAGCGTGACTCCGTAGATTTGAGTTTTCTTGTTTCTGATTATTAAATTCAATTTTGTGCTCTGCCCTATGTATCTCCCTTCTCCTCTCTACTGTCCTTCTCGCACGTGAAACCCGAACGTGAGCGGCTACTAAAATTTCCGTGCAAACGAACAAAGTCAACTTTTTGTGCAGTACCTGGAATTTCGTTAATGTGCACAGAAAACGTCGATTAGGTGCGTGGATGCACGTGAAATGCCGTGCCGTGACTCGTGCCGTGACTCGTGCCGTGCAGCTTATTGGGCTTTTTCGTTCTCTCGCTTGCCGCGGTGCTTGTGCCAAGGTGCGCCGAAGGTGGATGCGTGCCGTAGAGAAACGTACAGTAAACGTGAACAAGATATCAGGATAAATCGAAGATTTTGACTTTAGGACGATTCAGGGATACAAGGAATTGCGGAGATATTGCTCTGAAGGTTCCAAGGTATTTCGTTACATACAGTATGTGCCGTGTGCTTTCAAGGTGCGTTAACCGACAAGTGGATTAACCAAAGATAATAATAATAATGACAATCACAGAAAAAATATACGTGCACAAAAATATACCGTAACCTCCAAAATTTATTCTTACGCCTCTTACGCGAAAATTTCGACCGTTCCAAAAATCCCTGCCGACGGACCGGGTCCCGATTACAAATAAAATCGGGCCGAATATTCGCCTTATATGCCTTTCGAAAAATTCGTCCACCGCCAGACCCTACAGCTACAAGGCAAGTTCTACAAAATATCCCTAGGGGACGAAAACTAGTAACTTCTTTTTACACCTATCCCTATACTATATCAAAATAATACCATATCCGTTAAACACTTGTGCGTTCGTGAAATTTGGTAATATTTCGTAAAAAAAAATATATATATATCCCTAGATACGCTCGCACTATTTTAACGTGTGCACCGTATACCATGCGAGACTACCAATATGATAAACAATATAAATATCAACGGTAAATATTTTAATCTCCTTAATCGACTATCACCGCTACGCTATTAATTCTTCTTCACGAAAAATACTAGGCTCTCAATTGCTTTCTTAGGCATCTGTAATTGGGCGGAATCTGTACGAGTAATATATATATATACACGTCGCAAGTGCACAAACACTCCGTATCACTCTTCTCAATCGCACGCAGAGTAAACGCACAGAGCACAAATAAGTGCGTATAGGTTGGGCGCGAGGACGCGTGTATTTATCGTAAAAATATATAATTAGTTTTATGTGCCTTTCGCGTAAACGCGCTTACCTAATCCTACGTGGATGGTAAATATTCTGTATATGTATATATACGCGTATATATGTACACATATTCGCGTCAAATATATATATATATATATACAGAAGCGTATAATTATCCTGTATCTAAATACGTATCTCTATACGCTATATCGTTGTGCGCTTATGTGCTAGGAATGTTGTGCGTCAGCATGCGAGTGTTCGTGTGTTATTATTGTTATTATTACGAATAATAATAATAATAATAATGCTCGAGTCTCGTTGCCGATGGTGCTCGGCGAATTTATGCAGGCTCATCGGTAAGCCAAGTGAAAAACGGGATAGCGTGAAAATTTTGAAATTTTTTTCCAAAATATCTTTACGAGCGAACCGAATCCAAATTTTTACCGTTAACAAAATCACCAAAAGCGCCACCAACACCGAAATCCGCGACGGATTCAAATCCAGGATGACCGAACACCTCGACTTCCGGTTACAGTAGTACTTTTTTTTTTTCTTTTCAATGTCAAAAAGCTCGTTGCCGTATGGTTAATTTTTAAGTATGCTTTTTATACTAAAATTTTTTTAGTTCGGGCCGTCTTTTTTTATTTTTCAAAAAAATTTGTATGGCTGTCAATTTTTTTTTTTTTTTTTTTTTTTGATTATAGCTTCTTTCCCACACTGCACGTCGCCGTGCGCACTGGTTGCGTCATTAGGAATTCTTTGGTTCGACGAGAAGAAACACCCGCCGGCAACAAGGACAAATTTTAAGGCCAATCAAAGCTACCGTGATTGCAATGTACGTTTTGGGCGGCAGCGATTATTAATTATTAATTTTAGCTTTGATCGTATTTTTTTTTTTTTTTTTTTTAAATTTTTCTCCAAATTCTCACCGACGACAATCAGGTGCTTCGGAGTGACTTCGTAATACCTGGACGACAATCAGTGCGTACGCGAATAAATTGGCGAGCGGATGCGCGTGCGAAATAACGAGGATGCACGTGTGGTTTTTATGTGCGATTATCTCTACGTTACACATGTGCAATTATGCATTTGGTAAGAGTATAAGGACCTTGGTACGTATTTATATATCTAATCTAATGTATATACGTATAAGAGTATATCAACAGGTGCCTCAAAAAGTGCGTAAAAAATCAGACCCTATTACCCTCCCCCCCCGAAAAACCTCCAATCGTCCCGCAGCGATGCGACGAGCAAACAAAAAGTTCGACAAACAATACGGACGGGTCCAATTAATTCGCAGGAATTAGTTGATTGATCGGCCGTGCGATAATAAATGCCTCTATTTTTCTGGCGTTTCGATCTTAGGCATAAAGGCAAAGAATTCTCGTGTAACAACGCGTGACGGCTGACGAGATGGACGCGTTGAATTTTGCGTGACAGTGGAAAAAAAACAAGTAAAATATTACAACGGCTAAAACGCACTCTAAAGGTGTGCACGTATATAAGGTGAGGTTCGATTAGAAGGAGACGTAATTATAATAAAGTATTAACGATGAAATTGGTAGTTTGATATTGAAAAAAAAAAAAAAATAAATAAAAATAAAAAAGTAAATTACGAAAAATCACGTTGAAGAGAATTAACGTCTGCACGATGGAATATCAAGAGAGGATAGAGTGAACAGAGGGATGCAGATAAATATATATATATAAAGGGTGTCGTTGAAAAAAAAGAACCGAAAAAAAAAGGTCAACTAGCTGTGCGTCCTGACATCCATAAAATTTGAGTGCTTTGGTGCTTTCTCTATTTGGCTTGTGGGTACTTGCTTCTTCCGTAGTCCCCTTGCGTCTTCCACTTCCGCTTTCACTTCGACTTCGAGAGGATCCCTGAAGTCCACTTCCTCAGATGCGATTCAGCGATTCTCTTAATGGATTTAGCGACGAGGGATGCTGCGGCTGTCGCTCCACGCTCCTGGACCCCCTCTAGTAAGATCTGAAGCTGATCAAGAGCTGAGCCGGAGGTAAAGATCCAGGTCGATTCACCAGGACGACGAGGGCCCCGATTTGAGTGACGAAAGACCGGCACCTGTACTTGCGATATACCGGGTGAACCACTAAAAAAAGGTCGATCCGTTCACACTGGGTCCAGTAGTACGTGACTGATTCGGTAGTTCTCGATTCGTTCCTCCAGCACCTGGTCCACTCTGATCAAAGAACGAAGCTCCAATTCCTCGTGTTCTTCCTGAACACCCAGTATATAAGTCGTTCTATTCGGCGGCTGGACGTATCTGTCCTACAGCGTGACGTAGAGAGCACTCACGTGTAATTCTCCAGCCTCTTCTAGCCGAGCGGCCCTCTCGACCTGGATATCATCGCCAACAGGCTGCCGCTTTAGCTGGCCCCGCGTAAGATTTAGTCGCTGCGTTGAGAACGCCCGTTGGAAATATTTCTTTCCTCTGCCTCGCGCTCGGAGCCTCCGGGCCGAAGGATACGAAGCTTCGGGCTGACTTTGTCGAAGCGACCGAATACACGAGCTACTTCGCTATGCCCGATACCTTCATCCTAAAGTTTCATACGCGCGACACGTGCAGTAAATTGTGAACGCGGCTTAATCGATACGTCGATGTCACTTTATCTTCGGATTTCCTTTTTCTTCGGCCCAGCCACCGTATCTCAGGTAAGATCGTAACGGAGCCCCGTAACTGTCTTCAGACAGCGAATAGATATCACGAGCCTAACGGATCAGCGAATTCTCTGTAGTTAGAGTTTCGACCTGATTTTTACATATTTCAAACTCAAAGCTCGTCGTCACCTCTTATCGGTCCCGTAGGATTAATTCGCACTGCCACGTCACTCGCGCTTACGTTCCTTGACGGGACTCCCCGCCTCGAGCCGAAAGACGCACAGAGAAGAGCCAGAAGAAGAAGAAGAAGAACGGGAGCAGCGACTGGTCTCTTTCGATGTGTCGTCGATCGGAATGCAATTGATTTCGTATACGGTGAGTCAGATCTTCGTCGGAGGCTCGATCGAGTATATTACGTGATAAGGTTAGCCGACGTGTATAGTTCGCGTAGACCTCATAGCTCGAAAGCACTCGGCGATACCCAGATGGTCAAAACATCGACGCGAAAGGATTTATATAAGGGGTTGATGTTGCTCGCTCGCAGTCCACGAGCCGACTGATCTCCCTTTTCTTTCTTCCTTGGCTTATCTATCCGTCCAACGTCCTATCTCTCTCTTACGCTTTATCTCACTGCTGTCACTGACTCCCTCCCTCTCGCGCTCTCTCTCTCGCGCGCAGCCCTGCGCTCGTCACCGAGACGGAATTATCCGAGCCCGATGCTCGACTCCTGCCGAGTTTGGCCGAAGCTGCAAAAAGACGTACACAGGGTGTTTTCTCCCTTTCCTATTCTCTCTCTCTCTCTCTCCCTCGTTCTGTTCCTCACCCAAGTTCAGTCGGAACACCATGAAACATCAGTGCGATTCTCTGCACCCATATCTTCCAGGACTGCCTCAATGCCCCTTCGAATGCAACCCTTCTCCTTCCTCTTCTTCCTCTACACCTCCTATTCACTTCTGTACAATCATCCTCGGTACCGTAACCGCTCGTGGGCTCTTCTCGGACCAGACTTCATCATACCAATCGTGGACTACCTCAGGAACATACCCTGGAAATCCGTACAACAAAATCCTGAGAATGCGCCTTTATCCTTCCCTTGTCTTATATCTCCTTCGGAATCCGGATTCACCGCTGCATTCTCAGGCACTTCCTGTTCCGTGACTCTGATCCTGGTCCCTGGTACGTTTCCCTACTAGAGTCCGGCCCGTCGCGTCGCGTCCTTCCCGATGCACAGCCGCTGGAACCGAGAAGGGCCAATGAGTGAGAGGGAGCAAGAGGCCTACGAGGTCTTCGAGGTAGTTCGGGGGGGTCGAGAAAGCAGACGGTCAGGTAGAGGAAAGGTGGCCGACGGTTAGCTATGTAGGTAGAGGGAAGGTAGGCCTAATTGTGAAGGTTGGTCGTTCGGTTGGAGGTTTTCGGGGTGGGTCGGAGGGTTGGAACGCAATAGTAGGTTTAAGTTAGCGGGTGAGCCGGCTGGCGCCCTCACCAGAACTAACTCCCACGCTGCGCGACGGCCGCGCTCGGTCACCGTAACTCGCGCATCTCCCGACTTTCACTCATCCCCACCCGCCGCCCCTGGCTCCTGGGCTACCCTCCCCACCCGACCCACCCTCGGCTACCTTCATCCCCCGTTTCACCCCTCTCGCTCCGGTGTATCACGCGCAGGGGATGGAAACTACGAGATCTACGGTCTTCCAAGACGAACCTCTACGCGCGACCCCCTCGCCATTAGCATCCGCCCCCCCTTTCTCAGCTACCCCTTTCAGTCTCTGTCTCGTCCCCTAAGATACAGACCTTTTCGTAGAACCCAGCAACATCTGAATTCATTTGTATCTAAGATATTTCTAATAGAGGGTGGCTCACGTATGGACCCTGCCTGATGGTCATTATTTATTTGCAGCCCCTTTTTAACTTAATTGTCCGTCCCTTCGGGAAATTTCGGCACAGGCTACCAGGGTGTGATTGGAGGTAAGTGCGGCCATGGGGGTGTTCATTGGCGAGGGGACGTTTTTGCCTTTCGGGCGGTTCGGATTCTTGTCTACGGGAAATCGTGGGTATTGGTAGGGCTTTGGGTTATTTTATTCCCTGAATTCGGCAATCGGCACTAATGGGAGACCTTGCCATTGGCTGATAGTGCAGTGTTCACAGGATAGATGTACCCTTGGGTGCCTGAGATACAGACGCGAAGGATTTCTTGGTTGGCACTGACGAGTTCAGGTTACTTTATTTTCTGAGCCCAGACGTCCCCTCGTTTTTCACCACTCCGACGGCAGTCGAGGGTTGCACCGTGCAACTACCCTGTTAGCAAAAGCCAGCAAGACGTCTCGAGGAAGTCTTAAAGACGTGCCAGAAAAAAAAGTGCCTCCGTATCTCCGACACGAAACGTGTCACGGTTACTGTTCGTTGACGATTAAAGAAAAATTTACCCCACCAAAACACGAAGGCACCTGATTTTTACGTAAATCACCAAGAGTCCGTAATAAAAGATGCCATGTAAGAAAAATCTGATATTTTGCCATTTCCCGTATACCCGCCGTGAGTGGGAGAGAGACGGTCTTATAGGCGTTTCAGCGCGTAAGAGAGAGACAGACGTATACTTCACCCGAAATTCCCAGGTGATCCCCTTTCTCGAATTAATTATATTAAATTCTTTCAAAGGCATAGCCTATCCCACGGATCAATGTGGAGTAAACACCAGGTGCGATTGAACGATCTTTAGAAAAATAAAAAAAATGTATTAATGAAAAGCAATTCACAAATATATATATATATATATATATATATATCAAAAAATAAGAATCTCACCGTATACGTATCCTCTCTAATTCCCTTTAATCAGACCCTGTTTATCGTACGCACTTCCTAAACCTCTGTGTGACTCGACGCCAAACCACTGTCAATTGACAGCTCATCCTCTCAACTAGATTACACGGTAGGTAGGGTCGGAAATTTTTTTTTATTAGACATAAGTCCAATAACGAGAACGATTACGAGAAACGATGAGTATGCCAACGCTGACACACGAAGTCATCAGCAAGTCGATCCACCCCGTTAGTAGAACACGGGTATGAATCATAATAATAATTTAAAAAAAAGGCATCACCATAATTGGAGCAATCAACGATACCTGGTATTGTCGTTGAAAAAGAAATGTTATTTATAGAAGCAAGGAAAAAATTTGTTTAAAAAATTTTCTTAACCATACAACCTTATATAGGTGCACAGTGCGTGTGTTGGTACTACTTGCTTTTGCACCTTCATCAACGACCCTCCAGTACCTCCCATATCTCCTACATCCATCTTACATGCCGCTACCAAGATGATTTCCCAGGGGCGTGTGTATTTATTGAATTTCAAGGTGGTCAGGGTGCACCTGTTGCGTGGGGGCAGCCGTTCGCGACAGAAGTGGCCCAAAAGTCTTCTTGCGAGCCAGACGCGAGCCAAAGAGCATCCATTTATATGTAGATGCCGCTGGACCAACAAGTCGAGACTGATGATAAATTCTGTAAAAAAAAAAAAAGTCGTAAAAGTTACCAAAGAAAATATATTATATTGCGAAACAGTGAAAAAAAAAAGTTTTCGATCGTACCAAAAAAAAAATATCTTAACTTTCAAATTATCGTGACGTATTCACGAGTTGCTATCTCGGGGAAGCGGGGTTCGTAAACGTGAATTTTGGCAGCACTGTCGCTCGTCCCTCTACAATGGACTGACCCTTGGTAACTGTGCGGTAACGCGCTGGATCAATCATGTGGACATTCAACAAGTGTCGTTGCGTAAAGCATTTGAGTAACGAGAGTAATAAATAATGGCGTAGACCTTTTTTACATTTTTCTTTCTCGTCTTCGTTGAAGCGACAACCGCCAGGTGTCGGTGCAGTAGGCCTACGAAGATTCGACGTGGAGTCGGCGAGTGACACGTAACCTCGTAACGTGTGCCGAAGACCCTTTAGTACCGGGACATCTTCCCAGAGGGCGCACCTATGAAAAACAGAAGTTCCTTTAGCTTACGTAAGTACCTAAGACCTGCCCAGTGTCAATATCGCGAAATTCTGTAATAACTTTTCGCAATGCCGATTGGTAAACTATTAATTAAAACTATATAAATTTGGGTAAACTTCACGTTTTCGGCATACGTACCAGTGAACTCGAGAGATTGCGGCTGCTTGAGAAAGAGGAAATCATTTTTTAATTGTTTACGAAACGCATGGTTACCTACGGTCGCGATATATTTCGGGATTATTGAAACTGTCGTGAAATAGCGTGCGTGGCACCGGAGGTACGCAAATCTAGCCAACCTAGGGAATGAAAAACTTGGCCAAAAACTCCCACGCTCATGGCCTTCCGCGAATTCATGAATGGCCGACATGACGCGATTACACCAACACGTGTACGCGATAGAATCACCGTATGCGGTTACATGGTTATCGGTAAGGGTATTCTTCTCCATGCTACGTGGCATATAGTCGCTCGGGCTAGTATTCGTTGGCTCGATGCCCAGCGCGTACCCACGCTTCCTACACTCGTTCCAGCCCGAACTACAACGATTTACAAATTCGCCGATTCTCTTTGGCGAAGCCATTTTCTGGGTCTCCGAGGAAAATAAAAGGGTGGACAAAATAATGAAAGGAGAAAAAAAAAGAGACACGAACCACCATTGTGGCACCGCGAGCTTTTGTCCGTGAAAAATTTGTGTATCACGCTTCTTTTATTTTTCCAATAAAAATATTCCTCACCGTTTTTTCCGCGACGTTGATCGCCGTGTTAGATTTTCGAAAAAAAAAAAAATTTTCAAAAAAGAATCAGTCATATGCACCAGGCTTGAAATTTATATGCGATATCACCACGTTAAATCAACATACTGTTACGTGTTAATTTCAAGGGTGAATCCTACCGGATCTGGATTATAGAGAGAGAAACTGTTTTCCGGAATCTTCCTGGAAGGAAGAAAGAAAATAATTCTAGTTTAGCGCCTTCCTGGAAAAACTTTCGTAATTCCAGCTGTTTTCTCTCTCTGGTGGAATTTACATACTTTACCGATTCCAATGCTACTTTCGAGCTCGTACAAAGTGAGTAGGAGGTTAGAGGTAGAAGAAGGAGCTAGAAGGTAGTACGGACTGCAGGCGCTTTCGAGTTTTCCACTTTTTAAATTTCTAGTGATACATACATCCCTCCGTTAAGATGGATACATTGAAGATATACACGACTGTTTATCCGTATGTAGCGACTGTCGTGATTAGAAAAAATAAATAAAAAGGAAATTTGTTTATCTGGTGAAAAGAAAAAAGAAAAAAATATTAGGCCTCCCAGCTGTGCAATATTTCTGCATATAACGGTGACGAGGAACACAGTCGACTTATTAACATTAATTAACCTTAATTCGTAATTATCATTAGTTAATACGTAAGTACGAGAAAGATCGAATGTGGATTTAGTAATTACGAAGGTATCCTATATGTAACGCGTCAGGAAAAAAAATTCATATGTGCTACATGACAGGCGTACGGATTCTGAATATTATACCCAGAATTAGTACACACGACAAAGGCACGTTAGACACGATATGTAATAAACGCATGTACTCGAATTTGATTATTGATTTTCAAAATTTCTTTACGGACGATCGATCGCTTTCGCATTATCCTTCCGCAATCGAGTAATTTTAATTTGCGTTTCGACCTACGTGAAAATATTGAAAATCTGTGTCCTCTTAACATATTGCATCGGAACATGACGTAACGACAGACACGAAGCAAAGTGGATCACGAGTTAAATATATCACTCGCATAGTTTCCTGGAGAGAACTTGTGACGTCATTGGGGCACATCGGCAAGAGAATAGGCAGCCATGGAAAAAAAAAACACCTAATCCAAAAAATTTATCAACATAGGCAAAACAACGACAAAGCTAAGTTCCCAGGAGTCCCTGGTGTCGAAGGAACTTGGAGATTTTAGTCCTGAGTAAAAAAAATACTAAAAATACCAATTGACCATTACTCAATTTTGGGCTTTCTTCGATCCGGCACACGATTGGCCGTTTGACTTTCGTAGGTAACTTCGTTAAAATAAAAGTTCATAATTTAGTCATTACCATAGCTCATTCACCCATGCATGACCTGTAAGATCTATTTCGCAATGGATGACGTCACTTCTCCGGGATATACGTCACGCACCTTATAATCCTAGTCTATATTTTAGTATAGCAGTAATCGCTCATGATTGTTGCGATCGGCCAATCCGCATATACAGATTTGCGTGGAGCCATTTTCGCAGTCTGCATTCACTTTCCTCTTGTTGGTCCAATTATTTTTATTCCTTGAATTCCCTTTCGGATCCGACGGTCCGGACCCTGCGACGTCTGGATAGGAACTACTTGGGTCCTGTTCGTTTGATGCTCTCCCTTCCGTTTTTGGTATCAGCGATTGGAGCGACGTGGGCGAAGCAGGAATCGCTAAAAGATACATAAACAAACAGTAAGTACGAAGAACAGAGAAAAAGGACGTAAGGGAAGCCAAGTAATATATTTCGCGGTTTCGCGTTTAACGTATGAGTCGGTAACTGGACAGAAACAATGCAATTTAAAAACTCGACTCTGTGCGATGTATGCAATACAGTCGAACGGAAATGCTTGGCTGGGAGTCCTGATCGCAATGTGAATACCACAGTGGCTAGCCAGAATGCCTAGTATGTACATGTACGAGGCATGAAACTTGTAAGCGAGCAGACCAGGATATCAGGAGTGAGAAATTAACCAGAATATACAGAGAATAAATGCAGCCACAAACGAGCGTGCTGAAAATTCTCTGAAATCTGAGAATAACGTGGCAGTGAGACAAAGCACGCGTTATCACTGCAAAGACTTATGGTAAGTACAAATGGTATAACCGCAAGTCTATAAATTCGTTGGTTAAGCGAACAACGAATAGAGATACAAACTTATAGGTTAAGAATGAAAAGCCGCACGTAGATTTAAAAAGTATAAGCTACTTACCTGATCTTTAGATTCCGTTTATACGTGTCTCCGTATTAAAGATATTAACCAGGGTACACAGTTTGGCTTAACCACTGAAACTAATCGGATTATTAATGTCCTAAGCAGACATCGAGACACTAGATAAAATAGCACAGCTTTGTTCCCGTCTACTCAGACTTTACATAACCTGAGAAAACATAACCGCCGGACTCGCTCGGTTCCAAGTTACCGACTGAAGGTAACGCATCTATTTGATTCTCATTAAAAAAAAAAGCAAACTTCACTCGGTATATATTTGTACCGAACAGTGTATTATAATATACATTAAGCTATCCGAAACTCGAGCTCGTTCGGAGGAGTAAATTTACATTGAAATAAAAAGATGATCTATCATAATATAAAAATCTTACAAAGTAACGTGCATCGTAGAACCGTGTTCTACTTAACCTCGAACCTCCCACAATGCACGTGCATTATCCCCATACGGCGCAGTATGTAAAGTTGGTTGACATTAAAGCCAAGTAAGAAAGTCACAAGAACTAAAGAACGGCAACGACCCGCCGGCAATCTATACGACGCTTTTACGAGGCTGCACCACGACGAAGCCGTCACGACGACAGCGTCGTCGACACTGGACAACGTCAATATACATGTCACAGATACATAAGGTCGTCACGTCTCATCGATTATTCATTCGTTCTCGTGCATGACAATATCTCAGTGACGTAACTAGCCTCGTATTGAATATTACAGTTCAGTAGATCAGCACAGTACGTTGAGCTGTATACACACATATAATTCTCAATTGAGCGTAAAATTTTAAATGGCAAAAAATCTGAATTCTCTTATCACTTTAGAAACGGCAAAACGGTCGAATATTCACTGATTCCTTTGAGCTGAATTACTTTGTATTTGACTTTTTAATATTCGTAACGGTCGCTCTTATACCGGGTGAGCAGGCTGCTTTGGCATTAGCGAGTAGTAAGGAAAAGAATACAACAAGGTGGATTCCCATGAACTCTCCGTTTATGTATCAAGCTACGCTCGAGCAGGATATTGATTGTGTCGTAAAGTCCATTACGCGAAACGTTGCAATGGCCGCGTGACGTCAATGTTATAAAGCTACGGCCTTTCGGTACGTTATAATAATAATAATTAATCGGTAAGCTTATACAGATGAAAATCGTTAATCCACCGTACGAAGTGTCTGTACTCGCATCTCGTAAATTACATTAACGCCCTCGGTACGCCACGGTTCAAATTAACGAACGATGTTCATCGATGATTCCCAACGGTGTTTTTATGCTGCATTAAATCTTGTTTTTTTTTCTTCTTTCTCTTCTATAAAATTCTAAACGACATCGGACAATCGACGAATCCCGTCAAGCAATTAATCAATGGCAGTCGCTACGAATTAGCTAGCAATTAAATTAACGGAGCAGTACCTCTCTATCCATTGCCATAAATATCTTAGTGCCCATGATAAAAATCGAACTGACCTAAAGGCCCATAAACCCTGATGGTAATTCAATAGTAAGCGTGGACGAGGATTGCTCGAGGTATCTAGAGCAAGGAAGAAGACGATTAAAATCTCACGGCAGATACGAGTGAGATTGAAAAGGAAAAGAAGAAGAAGAAAAAAGGAGATAAAACATTCTCAGACAATAATTCCTTGTCCCTTGAGAAATCTAAAGGAGAAAGGAGCGAGAGACGAGGCGCTAGAAGGTACACCCCTTTTCGCGCGTTCCCGGAGAGAAAGATAAATATAAGAAACGGGTGGTGAAGTATAGAAATAATAAAAGGATGACAAGAAAGAAAAAATGTACCAGCACGAGGTAACGCAGGATTCGACTAAGCCTCGTGATAAAGATCAAAGATTGCAAGAAGGAAGGAAAGTTCGTTGAAGAGAAATGCGCAAGAGGCGTAGGCGTCCGGACGGAGACATAGCGGCGTCTGGACGCCGTCAATGGAAGCGCCACTCGACTCTTACTAACGCACTCTATCTTTCTCTCTCTCTCTCTCTCTCTCTCTCTACCACAGGACATACCCACGTAGACAAGGGGCAGAAAGAATATCCATATTCTACGCAAGGCTTTAATACCACCGACTCTGGATACACGGTATGTCCACATATGTGGTGTCATATGTGTACATATACGTGGCTCCATGTGTATATATATGTCAGAGGTTACGGGTCGGTTACGCATCGTGGGCGAATACGCCGATACTGCCGCATCATCCATCGGCGACCCCATTACAAGCAGCCCCCGGAGAAATCTTGAGATCTTAAATATCAAGCGGCCACAGCATCACTAATGGACCAGGGACTCCATTCCGGGCCGAAGCTGACTCGACCATTTTGTTTCGCAATAAATACGTATTTAATTGACAAGAAATTAATTGCAGAGGAATTCTGGAAAAAAAAAAATTTTTTATTTAAGGTAAAAATAAAAATCAACAAGTCTTGTCAGGTGATACAGCTTACCATTGGGTACGTTAAGTTGAAGAAATGATCCTCGTGGCATAGCCTATGAAACACGGTGTCATGACCTCTGCAAGTGCAGTGTCATATCCGGGTAGGGAAGGTTAGAACAAGAGGATCCGCTGATAAGAAAAGTAGGAGGTGGAGTAGCGATAGCAGCAGCAGCAGGAGCCACAGTAACGATCGTAGGCGGCCTTGAGCCTTGATGACGTCAGAACTAGGAGAGCTCCCGGCCGACAGCGGGGGCACCCCGGCGCTGGAGCGACGCCAAAGGCCCGGCTTCATTCATCGTTCAGCGGCCGCGTACCGACCGCGAATCCCCACCTTGACTTCCTCGGGTATCCCCACCAGGGTCGCCATTCCCCGCCAGTCGGCAGAAAGTCCCTATACTAGGTAGTGATGCGAGTGGCCCGTTTCTCCCCCCACTCCATTCACCGATTTCCCCCACCACGGCCAGCCTGGACTCACCCAACATAACTGGAAAGCACAATGAGACAGAGAATTATTATTTTTACATTTTTTTGTTTGCTTTTTCTTTCATACCGCGATACCAAAATTTCAAGAGGGATGTAAATTACAGTGACGTCACAGTTCGATCGATCGCTCAGGAAACTGACGGGGATTGTAGGGGGTCTTCTGAAATATTTTCTGATTTCTTCTGCTACGGGGTCCCCTTCGCTGCTGACTGCCTAAGGAGTACTTATCAAGGTCACCATTCCCCTCCTCCCCCCTCCACGACCATCGGCAGACTTTCGTCATCCATCGTCCAAGTATTAACTATATCCCTAATGCCATGCTGTTACTACGTGGGATAATATTTATTCCGAGGGTTTTTAACCTGGCTGTTTAATCTTTTTTAATACGGGGTGCTCTCGTTTATTTGCATCACGTAACTGGTTCGATATTTATGAATTACGACAGGGACCAAATTAAGTCTCTCGTAAATTAATTCTATTGGGAATTTCTATTAGGGATTGTGCTCCTTGCCATGGTTACGTTGTACTCTCGACTCGGTAAAGATATTACGCTTTCCTTAATGGGTCACGTGGGAGTTGTAAGACACTGTAATACGGTACAAGTGATATATAGATATAATGAACCATGGGATGTCTTGCCATGGCACAGCGTCTTCGAAACGTGTACGTGAAAAGGGGACATAATGTAATTATCAAATTATTACGTCAAAGTGTTCCCGTACTGCTGGATCCGACTTCACATATATGGAAACGAGGAAGAGAATTGCTGTGACCTTAAATTTTGTCTTTTCCCCCGCCAAAATATTCGTTAGCTTCTTTTTGCCTGTTTTTTTAACCAGGGTTAAAACCGGGTTTAGGGTTAAAAACCGAGGACGGTAAAATGAAATAACTCTTCCAAAAATTTCTCTAACCCAGAGTCTTCCAGTCTGACCCAATGGAGGATGTGGGAAAATAATGTGTAACAAAAACGTCGACGTCAAGCGAAGTAGGGAAAAACCCCATAAACCAGTGACGTAAGGAGCTCGATCGAATCCTGGGGTCAGACTTTTTTCTTCCGTACACAAAATACAGACATACACGTCACAGCTCGAGAGTTGCCTGGAAGCCATGAAAAATCGTGAAATTCAAAAATACATAACCACGATTAAAGAATAATTTTTCATTTATTTACCCCTGTAACCTATGTTACTTTGGTAAAGCCCAAAAATTTCAAACGCCGCTTCCTCCCCTTCGGCTCAAATATAACACGACGTAGACTCTGAGACTCCAAACCTCAAATTTTACCTCGCAAACAGCAAGGGTACGTTGTAACAAGACACTCCGAATATCTCACGACTGTTCCCGTATTCATTATACATGCCAGAGTCAAACACGTGCCAAAGAGGTATGCAAATAATAACAATGTACAACGTAAAATTAATTCAAAAATATCATTCGAAAGCTTAAAATTTTAATTAAGGTCGCTAAGATTTTTCTCCGAATTACATATATACATTTTTTTTTTTCATCATTCAGGTTAATAGACACAATTCACATAACCGATAGCCACCCTCGTTCCACATTCGTATAAAATAATTCAATTTATTTCCAACGCCTGCGCATACCCATCAATAACAAAAGTGCCTTAACCACCATACGAAGATACATAATGGAGTTATAAAAAAATTTATTAATAACCAAATATCGAGGATGAAATAATTAATTGACAAAATCAATATCAATCAATTATCAATAGCAAGCCAGTATAGTGACCCGTTAACAAAGTGCTTGTGAGGTCATTAGAGATGAGTCACGACATCAATTAATTTTCATTCATGCTATAAGTAGCTACTGTCGCTGTCTACCTTGCTCTCATTCCGTCTATCTATCTATCTCTATCTCTATCTCTCTCACTCTCGTACACTCCACCTTTTACTCCCTGCGCTCTTAGGGACTGGCTTTTAAGTGAACCATGAAAGCTCGCGGCAGGTATAATAATAAAAACGAAGAAAGTACGAAAGATCCGAGAGTAAGATGAAGGACAGGACACAAAGCACTCACCTGGGGTGAGAATATAACGAGCTCACCCGCTATATAAAGAATTAATAAGAAATGCCCGGAAATTCCCTGAAACGCACGGCAGTGCGAAAGAGGGGTGAAGATATGGCGGGTGGAGGGGGGGAAGGCAGCAGCTTGAGGTTCGCGTGGAAGAATGCAAACGGTCATCGCAGTAATCCAAGAGAGCCACCCCCACGGAGGACACGAAGAGACAATG